GCGTTTGGCAGGGACACAAATTGCACCTGTTAACACTTAAAGCTCGCCGCTTCTGCCTCTTTAGGCAGTAAAACTTCTCGACTCACCCGGCATGAAATGTCCAATTTTCCAAACAGATTAGTCGATTGTTGTTCGACTAACACAAAATCACAACAGATAAAAGGCAGACAAATCAGGAAATAACTTTTTTTTTACACACAGAAATAAAAAAGTCCAGAGGTACAGTGTGTGGCACCCTTTGGTCTTGCTTCAATGATTTAATAATTAAAAACAAATAAAACACAGTAATATTGGAGTGACACTGATGGACAATAAACAACATTACAAATAATAATAATAATAATAAAGGTTCAAATAATAGCAAAAACTGACAAGACATTTTTGGTTTTAGCTGTGAGTGAAAAACAAACAGGTCAGCTGCAGTCTTAGCATCGTTATCCAAAGCAGTAGTATTCGTCTGATTCCACCCTGAGTTTCAGAGGCGATTTGCTGAAGGCATCACCGTCAATAACAGTTTTATCCACAAAACAGTCGAGGTCTGAGGGCGATGGGTCATCGGGTAGATCGTCCAACGTGTCCAGGTAACTGCCTACAGACAGGCCGTCTAGGCCGTCACTGTTCACATCATTTAGGCTGTTAAAGCTGCCCCTCAGCGAGGAACCATCCTGGCTGTCAGACAGACTGTACAAACTGCCCGTCAAGCTGCCATCCTGGCTGGCGGCGCCTCCTTTGTCATCTATCATCCATCGTATGGACTCGATTCCCTCGTTGATGGACATGAGCTGCTGCATCAGCTTCACATCGATGGCTCGCAGGTGGGCCTGGGTAAAAAAAAAAACATCAGTCAGGCTGTGGCGCTAAAGCATGATGAAACTTTTCACTTTTGTTTTGGTAATTTCACATGACATCTTTCTCCATTATAAGACATTAGGGCCACACTCTAACAAATTCTAGGTAACCAATGCAAGCTGCCTAATGCAAACAAAAACTAAGCTAAGCTAAAGGCTATTAATAGCACAAATAAACAAAGCTTCTGGTGGCAACAGTATAAAAACCAAAGTTATATGTCCATAACCAACCATTGTTTCTTCTATCGACAGGTAACACTAGAGAGCAATGTGGCGTTAAATGACAATGGTGAAGAAAAAGGCAAGAATGGTATCCAATCAGCCAATCAGAGCTAAGGTAGTTGTTGAAAGGGAGCATCTACACTTGCATGGAGACAGGAAAAGTCAGGCTGGTAGCAAAATGACAGTTCATTTGTGACACAGTGTGACCAAAGCATGTCCCATAGAGAACAATGAACACACACATGGAGCTATTTAACATCAAAGTAACATTACTTTGAACTCTCTCTCGTTTTCTGTTGTCAAAACTCAACTATATTCAGTTTAGGACTACATTACAATTTAGTCAAAAGACTTGTGACATGAACTAAATGACAATTGGCTGACAAATTAAAATGTCAGGTTTCCTTGATGGCTGAATTACATTATAATGAATTATAATAATTATAATGAATTTTTTACACTGTGCCCAGAGTCTATAGAGGAGCCAGTGAAACGGGCTCACGCTGATCTCTCTCATACAGTATATCTACCCATGTCTAGAACACCGTGTGCCTTGTTGTGTTTGGACTATCAGGTTTTGTTATGAACAAAGACACTTAAATATGTGGCAGTGGAAAAAGCACTCTGTCTGCTCACATAACCACACAACCAGGACACATTTCTCACCCTGGATAATGAACGACATGTCAACTGCACACAGTGTGACCATTAATTTACTTCCGCACCTGTGACAAACACTGCTATTGATTGTGTACGGAAGTGGGCAGTCTGTGCACTGATTCTTGGGTCGACTCTGACACACACACACACACACTGAGCCCTGGGACAACTGTTATATCCTGCCACAGAGACAGATGACAGCAGACAGAACTGGCTTCAGACAACAGTGTGTCTCTGAAGTGGGTTTGTGCAGCGAGCCTCGGTTCGGCTCCAACTGCTGCCAGTTGTTTGTTTTATGGCTTTGAAACCACCAGCTTTATATCAACATGGACACAGAGCAGACTGGAATTATATTTAAACTCCTGCCTCCTGTTAATACGGCGGCACATGGGGATTGAAATTGCAAACATAATTTAGGGGCAAAAAAATATGCAGCGCTATTTTCAAAACCATGACAGCTTAAAAAAACTAGCCTTGAGGTTTTGTTTTGTTTTTTGGAAAATGGAGTTAGTTTCCCTCCTTCTTAAACAACGTGCTTCTCCAGCAACAAACATAAGGTCACCAGCAGGTTGCTGCCAAACGCGAGTGTTTGTGTCTGTCAACCTGACACGTGCGTGACCAAAAACTGAGCAGCAGCCTGACTGGATTAGAGGTTCAACTGAGAAGTGAGCCACAGGAACAGGGCTGTGCACGGTGGCTCACACTGGAAATAGGCCACAAAATGACACGGCAACGGTGAAGTCAATTTTCTCATTTTTTGATAATTAAACCGTAGATGAAAACCGTCAGGTAGAACCGGAGTTAATTAGAGAAAGAAAATGACCGTACGTGGGGCTCAGACAGAGTCTGAAACTCGGTCAACTTGACCATCTGTTCAGGAATCCTAATGCTCCACATGACCTTCCTTCTGAACAGGCCCTGCTGTCAGTGAGACACACACGGGAAGTTATTTCAACCCGGCAGATAAGAAGCACTGTGTGTAATGAACAAAGGGCGATTAAAGGAAGTAGTTAGAACATCAAGGGAGGAGGAGACGATCCCTGATGTGTAGGTATTAATGTGGTGCAGGTGTGAATGTCTCTCACCTACCCACCGACCACTGCTCATAAAGACACTCTTACTTTGCATTAAGCAAACCTCATGTTGACTTGCAGACCTGTTTTACATTCAGTGCAGGTATTTCCTGTCCATACGGGTTGGGCTGACTATTCATTCTTATTACAGTGTAAAAGGTGGATGTATAACATGACCGACACTGGCTCACTGATGGATGACACAAGGATCAGTCTCCTGTTTACATACCACTGGTGTGAGTACAGCTATGTAGCACATTCTAATATGGTTGACATCCTGTTATAAGACAGTACTAATAGAAGCACTTCTACATTTAGGGTGTTCTTGTTCAAAGTAACATGGCCATTGATAGATTCTCCTTAGTTTCTTTAAGTTCTATGAATATTCAATTTATATATATATAAATATATATATATGTCTTTGTATAGTTTAATTGTTTATATCAAAGGGTGTGCTAAAGTTTCATCATAATTTATTTCAATTTTTTTTGTTTAGTCCCCATTCTCTTTTTTGTTGGTGCAACATTAAGTCATATTTAATTATTAGAATTTGTATTTATTGATACTTTTTTATAAATCTTGTATTGTGGTTCAATTTTGTGGCAGAAGTTTTTTTTAATACATTTTAGTAATATTTTAGACACTTCAGAATTATCTCAGTTGAATTTGCAAAATGTAATCCAAATGGTCACACTGTGCACAAAAATTATTAGAATTTGTATTTATTGATACATTTTTATAAATCTTGTATTGCGGTTCAATTTTGTGGCAGGATCCAGATGGTCACACTGTGCACAATGGTGTTTTGGTTGTCTTGTCCTTGTCATGCAATGGATGAAAATACAATATACAAAATTACAGGGGAGATTGTGTTTTACTGTCAAGTTACCCGGAGGGGGGTGAATGGTTGGGGGGTAGTGCAATTTGGCCCAGGGCGTCAATTAGGCTAGGATCGCCGTTGATACAGCCACTGCTGTGACGTATTATCCATATGGAATGTTATTTATTTGAAGGCTTAATGATATACTGTATATATAACACGCACATAAAAGCAATGACAATACAGAGCCATTAAAACACGGATCAATAATAAACTTACCATTTCTTGCTTGAGGAAAAGCATTTTCTTTTCCAGTCGCTTCAGGTCACCGGAGTTGGTACAGGATTTGCAGTTGACCAAATGCGCGTTCGTGGACTTTTCGTGCTTCTCGTGATGTTTGCCTCCGACGAGCGACCGGATGAGACTCTCCGGGACTTTGCGACCCAGTTTGGTCTCTAAGTCCTTCAGATCGGGTAACACGTTACTGTCCTCGTCCATAGTAAACTATAGCAGAGAACGCACAGCCAGTCTGAGGCTCTGTGGGAGCTAAGGAACGGAGCTGGACGTCGGTGACGCGCCAGAGACGCAGCTCCCAGAGTGAGAGAATGATGAGTCGCAGAAGTAACTCTTCACCTCTGCTGCTCCATCATCAGACCTCCCCCCATTCACGCGTGTGGCCACTGACAAAGCTCAGTGACACAACGTGCACACACAGTGTTCCCTCCCACAGGCCTGTGAAACCAGACACCGCACAGGTGGGGTGTTGTGGAGAGAAAGGTACACCAAACAATAGCATACACTTCCACGTAACAGTACCGAAGCCTTAAACTAATGTTCAAGGACTTCAGATTATTTGTCTGTGAATATGATTTATCAAGAAAAGTTTTGATTTTGTTTGGTTATTGAATCACGTATGAGTATGGTTTAATTTTGTATTTGTATAAATGTGCAAAATCGAACACAACCGCAGACAAATTAAAATAATTTAGCATTTGAGCTCAAAGACTCAGTAGAAACACACAAAATATGGACATTCTTTAGACAAATGGTTAAAGAACACACACAAAAAAAAAAACATTTCTGAAACAGATGCTAAAATGTCCAAATGTGTCTGATTTTAATCAGTGGAACATGTTAAGACATGTCTCTCAGGTCTCTATAACAGCCTTGAACAGCTTATTATTATGACCTTGTCAAGCCCTGAGCTGTCTACCGTTTATTTACCAGGTCTCCAAACCTTAAGCATTACAGTAACAGATTTAAAATTAGAGCAAACATTAGAATTTACCCAAACTTGACGGGAGCCTGGCTTCTATAATATTGTTGTGAATAAACAATTTTGATACAAACACTGCTTGCATATAGTATAGATATGTTGGCAAACAGCTTTGCTATTTACATGAAAACTATTTCAGAATAGTTTAGATTCCAGTAAATATAACAAGCATAGTTGTATTGGATTAAAACTTTAACTCAACGCAATTACCATCCCTGTAAATAATCGCATTTTTAAAAATCTTAATTAATTATTAACAACAATTACGGCACGACAATAACTTCCTGAATACAATGTATATTGACATAAACAATAAAAAAGCACATAACTACTTTGAACGCTGCACAGGCAGTTTGAAAGATCTAACTGTTACACCCCCTGGTGGTCATTTGGGATATATTGCATGATTACGAGCACTGGGAACTTAAATCTAAATCTAATAATTCTTATGTGACTAACGCATACTAAGCATGTTTTGGGCTAATATGTATTAGAATAGTAGTTATAATTAATTATTTTCAATGTACTACAATATCATCTCTTGTTTTATTTGTCTCTGACAAAGACAAAGAAAGTTACGTAAAATAAAACTAGATTACTTCCGCATTGTCTACCCCACTTTAGATTATGTAATGAATATGTTTTATTATACATAAATGACATACTGAAAAGCAGATTAGCGACTTTTTGAGCACCATCTAGTGACGTCGGCCATGTCATGTTCAAAATGTATGTTACCCTGAAATCTTAAGGACACATATTTATTTATTTTAGACAAATGTGTCTACACCAGTGTATTAAAAATAAGAGCTAGATATGAGCGGAGTAAAAGCAAAAAAGCTAAATAAAAAATAGTTTTGTGAGAGCTGAAATCTTCCATGAACGTGGGTCTTAGTTAATTAGGTGAAATAAAAACTCTTAACAGACAACACCAAGGAGACCTTTTGTTCAAGCCTGTCCTCAAGCACACATCTCAAACCACGGACTGGCTTTTGTCACTGTCGTACCGCTGGTACTGATCCACAAGCAGTGGCTGGTGGCCCTCCATCTTATAAGACCTGGCACGCACTGCACAGGTTGTGACGGCAAAAATGGCGGCGACCAACAGGAGGGCGCCAATGATTGCCATGGTGATGATTTCAGTCAGAGTGAAAGGCTGACCTGGAAGAGGTAAAGTGCATGATTTGTACCAAGCTCTGCTTTCAGTCAAGAGAACTATTTCTGCTATTTCTTGCTATTGAGCTGCTGCATGACAAGCTGCTCCAAATTCTTACCTGGCCATTCCACCTCGTAAGAGTAACCAAGATTTTCAGGCGCTGTCACAAACATTTCAGCATTAGTCACCGGAGGCCAGAAAGGCACCATGTTGTAGCCTTTGTTGTGACCAATGGGAGCATTTTCCTCAGGATAAATTTCAGAACCTGTCAACATCAATAATCAGTCATCAAACTTACACAGGAGTTAATATTTCTGTAGATAACATGAGTTTAAAAAGAAAATCCAGTTGGAAATGAGCTGTGTTAACCTAGACTGTGTCTCCTCAACCACTCGTCGAAGATTGCATCGGTGTATGTGTGAAGTAACACAAAGATGGGGTCGTTGGGTGAGAGATGAGTCTGTCCTCCTGTCCCATTTAGAAAAAGATGGGCCAGATTGTGTAAACTCCTGACCACGGGGTCATAGTTCCCCTGGGGGGCGCTGTATCCTGCCAAAAGAAAAAAAAGAAAACAGAAATAAGAAAAAGCAAACAAAATGAAGGTCAGCTGGAGAAAGAAACAACTCCCTCTACTGGCTCACCTTCAATTGTGTTTCTGAAACTTTCAGAGGAGGTGGAGTAGTAAGGTGGTGTGTCAAAGGTGTTAATTTGAAGACAGTCTGCTACATCCTGGGGCTCTGGGAGACGCTGCACCATCGGCCTGTTGACGTTCCCTGCTGGGTTCCTCCTGATGGGAGATGTTTCAGTATCTGCAGGGAGAAGGAGAGGGGGAGTAAAAAAAAAAGAGCTCACGGCACAGGATCACATGGTCTAAAACAAGCCTCTCACTGTTGCAGATGGTTCCCAGTGTGTCGTAGTCCTCTACACTCTCACAGATGACTCTCCATTGGGAGAAGATAGAGTTGGAGCTGAGAGAATTAATATCAAAAGTGCTCCTGGCGCCCATCAGGTCATCTGTGCAGATGTCACATGTGCTTCCACCAATGGCAAAGTTCCAGTAGGGCAGGGCAAAGGAGGGGTCCTGCAGCATATCCTGGTTTTCAGACAGGAACAGAGAGGAATGGGTTTTTTTGTTAGTGTATGCAAGTAAACATCACATTTTAATATCGTCACCTGCTGTTCAAGTCATAATCTGTAAAGTCATGATATAAGAAGTTTACATGTAGTATAAGAGAGCATAGGAAATAAGGATCAGCTGTAACAGTGTCAGTGAGAGGAGAAAACAAAGAGGAGAAAAGGAGAGAACATATAAAAATCACAATAATGGATTTAAATAACAGACTGAAAGGAGCCTTTATAAAGTTTCAAAATGGAGTGAGGAATTATCAGATCATGTTTTAATGAGTGCCTGGAACAGGAAATAAATATAAATAAACAAATAAAATAAAATAATTGAGATTTTCTCCATGAACACACACTTTGATAACAAGTTTCCATCCAGGAAAGCTAATTACAAATAAAGTTTATCTTTAAAATTGAGTTAAAATTAAGACTTTATTTCTTGGTGTGAGATAAGATAAGAGAAACCATTTGTGGAAGATTCCAGTCTTTTTAATTGACCTTAACTAATTCAAATGGCCCTGTAATCCTACTGTGTGTGATGAATTAGAGTAGAAAATTGATGTTATTTTCCAATAACATGCTTGACAATTTGTGCAGCAGGATTAAGGCTTGAAAATGTTGTGGCAATGATTTAACCGCCTATTAAGAGTTAATGCAATCTGATCAACCAAATCATAATCGTTCTATTTTCACATATTTACTTTTCCACAGTAGAAAAAATACCTGCATGTCGCTCTCCAGCTGCAGCAGGTGGAACCGGTGCCAGGTGACAAAACCCGGACCCTCATGGGAGAAGTCTACTCCCCCAAAACTGGCCTGACCAGTACCCAGGAAGGTTTTACTGACGGAGTAGTAGTGACTCCACACGAAGTAGTTGTAGATGGTGATGTTCTCGAACTGCACCGTGCTGCCGTCAGGCCCAAAGATCTCTGCGTAACGCCGTGTGGCGATCACCAGGTCCGGGTGCACGGTGCGCTTGGCCTGGTCCAGCGCGTTCACGAAGGCACGCTTCTCCTCCGCGCTGAGCTGCATCACGTTTCTTCTTACTGGGGTTGGATGGAGGGGGGGAGATGAGGGTTAACTCACCAAGTCATGCGTTAATTGGAAATCGGATTGTGATATTCCAGGAAATGGGTTCAAAAGTGTGCGTAACAGCAGTTTTGGTTTAACATATATAAATTAATTAAAATGACTTTACAAAGAATCTAATCTAAGTAACGGTAATCTGAGTAACATTACAACAATTAATAGTAGTTAGTCAAACTGTAACTTACCAACAGGTACTTGCTGGTCACAGTTGGGTCCCGTCCATCCATGTCTGCAGCGGCCGCAGTTAAAGCCACTGAAGTTCCCGTTACACTGACAGGTGCGGTTGAAGAAGCGGACCGGCCATCGTTCCCGATCGTCACGTCCGTCGTGCGGATACTGAGGCCCGTGGCGCCGCGTGTCGGCTGAGATAGAGACGCACTGTCCGCGGCCCGCGCTCGAACCGCACGGGTCGTTCGTGAGCCCGGTGGGCGTCGGGCAGCACTCTCCGCTCTCTAGACCTTCAGGAGTCACGCATTGTCTGGGGAATTGAGCGACGGCGATCGCGGCGCCCAGCAGCACCAAGAAGCAGCTGCGCCACATTATCTAACCAGAGTCTCCAAAGTTAACGCACGACAGAAACCTTAGGATGAGGATGTTTTCTTTTTTCTTTTTCTTTTTTAATAGTTACACCACCAACACCTCTAATCGCGTACTTAGTTACTGAGTGAGTTTAAAACATCCTCTCTCCAGCACCTGGCCCCCGTTTCCCTAAAAGAAGCCAATAGTCCTGCTTAAATACCGGATTATCGCATGACTACCCGGATTTTCTGACTCCCGCGTGATCCCCCTCACATAACATGATATTCCCTACTCGGTGGGGGTGAGGGGGCTGGGGGTGGAGAAGGTAGTGTGACCGGTCATGCACACAGTTATTCTTCTAAAGACTTCTGTTGCTGTTTGAATGTCATTAAAACCAAAAAGTCTGGCAAACAACACAAACTATGCAATTAGAAAAAAGATGTAAAGACCAGCTGCATTTATGAGCACCATAGCAACAGTGTTCCAGTGCTGTAGGGCATTTTCTGTTGCCAATAAAAAAAGAAACAAACCGTGATCCAGACATGCTGAGATGTACAGCATTATTAGAAGTTTTACAGTATTCACCCTATGTTTCACGTTTTTCAATTGGACACCATTTAGTTTTGTCTACAAAAACTACAGTGTTGTAGGCCAAAAACACACAAATACGTCCTTCGTCCATTCTAAATCAAACCACCAATGTTTATGTGTATCACATTTTGGATGATGTATGATGAGTTATGTTGAAAATGGTTAAATAACAGCAGCATTTTATGTTTAGGTTAAATAAAACAGAAGCCTCAGAAATAAAAATAAATGTAAAAGTGCAAACAGAGCTGAATAACCCTTAAAGAGGCTGCAGCCTAAAGAGAGAAGGTCTGCTTTTCAAGTTAAAATCAACATCTTCAGAAAACAATAACTAAAAAGTGCTTTTTTTTTTAGGTGAAACAGAACTTTAAAACAAAATGTTTCTCTTTTAATTAAGTGTGTGACTGCCCTGCCAGAGATTTCATTTTGTCTCAGTTTTTCAGACAACCCATCTTTTGGTTTTCCCTCAGTGTCTCAGCATCAGTGTTCAAGCACTCCTTCACAACCATCCCATGACTAATACTGGTGGCACAGGGTAAACACATGATTTGATGGGTAAACTGAGTAAAGCTACTGATAGTTACTGAAAAGTAACACCCGCTGTCTGTAGCCCCGACCGTTGGAAAAATAATGAAATGAGAATCATCTAATCTGACAAATTTCTCAGTCACCGAACAATCACTGGGTCCCCCATGTGGTGATGCCTGGTGTAGTCGACTTACCTCGTTTCCAACTTCCATCTTTTTAAGGTGTGGGGTGCTCTCGTTTTAAAAAGCCCTCAGGTTGTTGACTGTCTTCACAGTTCAGGATGCGAGGGGATCGTGCTACAAAAGAAAAAACTTTGGTTAGTTGGTGATGATGATGCAAAAGCCATGTCTATACATCTTCTACTTTCACATTTTATATTCCAAGGAAAGAAGGCAGCGAATGATTTCAACTAAAAAGAAATGCTGGACAATAAACGTATAAAGAAGGAGAATATGTTTGTTTTCTCCAGACTACGTGTCCAACTGGCACCAATGTTATCAATTAGTAACAATTGGTAAAATCGCTTCAAAAAGACACTGAACTTTATTTCTAAAAACAGATTTGCTTATGTATGTTATGTAAATTGAAAATGCCAAATTAGGGAATGTTTACTGATGTGGCACAAATAACGTCGGGAGTCACTGACCTGGACTGTTAAACTTTCACCACCGGTCATTTCACAGTATTAAAAACAGGACTCTTGCAAACTCTTGTTTTGGTGTTTGTCTACCTTAGTAGAAGGGACTCTCTTCAAATTTAAAGTGTTGTCTCCAACCACAGTAACTGGTCCACTTTACATTACAATGTGCACTGGAACCAGTCACCCACGAATGAGGTCTTCATCCAGATTCTTAACTCAGTCACATGCATTTCACATCAAATATCAGAACACCAGTCGGGTTGTATAGTTTCACAAATGGGCTGTGAGTTTGAGGATTACACAATGCTAGGGCTAAGCTCATTCTCATGAAGAATTTTTGAGAATGTGGCCGCATTCCTTCATACATGTGCACTTCTGAGGCCGTCACTGTACATTATGAATCTGAGTCACCATCTATAGTTGTGTTCAAAATGTCAGCAGCCCAACACGACAAATCACTGTTTCTGGTAGAAATGAAACAGTATTACTACATGGCAAATCATTTAGCAGTATCTGTAGTGGAGTCATAGAAAACCAACACACCCAACATTCATGATATGCATGCTCCTAAATCTGTGTTATGAAAAGATTAAACAATAACTAAAAAGTGCTATACATATACATATATATACATATACATACATATACATATACATATACATATATATACAGAAACATATATATACATATACATACATATGGAGTTTGAGCTTTAATCATGTTTTTAAACACACTGTTATTATTTTGAAAACAACTGTACTTTTTGAATTTATAAAATGAGTTGTTTAAACTTCCAAGCCTTGTGATTGGCTCTGATGATTTCTCTGTGATTCATATTCCAAACCATTGACATGGTTACTGGGATACTGGGTACAGCTCGAAAAATTGTTTTGCAACAGAATAATTGCAATTTAAATGTAGATTTCAAAAAATGTAATTGTTCTAAATATCTAACCTTACATAATAAAAACAGGAACAGGAACACTAGAAACCTCTGACTTTTAAAATCAGATGTCATTACCAGGAGTGGTACACATATCTCCTCTGCTGGTCCCGTGACCACGGCTCAACTGACCTCCCTTTCATGCCTTTCCATTCCAGCTACCATTTCTGCGTGTGTATGGCTTTGTGCTTGTAAGAAAAAAAAACCCTGGGCTTGGGATGGAGGATCATGTGAGAATATGTGACTTGGGCTTAATGCTAATCCTAGCCTTTGGTAAAAAAAAAAAATGGCACAGTGGGAGTCATTAACAGGGAGCGAGGAGTGTTTCAGGGCTGTTTGCCTCTTCCTCCCTGTCTTCTCCTCTGTGCTCCCATCCTCCCTGCCACTCTCTGTCATTCTCTCAGCTTCTCATCACTGGCTGTCTTTGTGATGCTCATTGCATCTCAGCTTCTGCTCTTCTCTGTTTCATTTTATTTGCTTCATACAAGGACAAAATGAGATTTACTTTTTCAGCCCATGTGATTTAACAACACATCTGATCGATAACCTTTGCCCGAGGCTCAGAAAAACAACCGTCCTTTGGATGTCAAATAAATGACAATGATGATTACTTTTGCAAATGTCTGACCAAAATCCAAAGTTCTGGAAGAAAAAATGTTCAGTTTTGAACCACATCAAACAAAAAATCTGTTATGAACAACATAAAAACAACCAAAAAAAAAAAAAAAAAAACCCAAAAAAACCCATCCAACTGTGTTGCATGAAAAGCGTGAGATTCATCCTTCCAAACAGCTCGGATCTTGCACCAAATCTCAAGGCAATCTGTCCAACACATTTCACAGCCAAAGAGCCATGTCAAGCTCATGGTGTGGCTCCAGGAAAAGTCAGGGCATAACCCAAGTCAGTAAGACTCGTCATGTAGGAACCACGTATCTCCGCACAAATGTCATGACAATATGAGTGTCGGGGGACTGTATTTTCCAGCGTGCTGGGAGACAGACAAAAAGGCCATGTGATATTACACAGTCACGCTGACAGCCATTATACCTGCTTGTCCTCTGAGGATTGCAGAGGAGCTGGAGTCAGTGCTGGCATAGATAGGCCTACAGGCGCCTGCAGAGGTCACCAGTCTATCACAAGGCCACCAATAGAGAATTCAGACTTTTTTAACACAAGACAAGACAACAAGACTGTGGCTCAAATGTGAGACTCCAATTAACCCTAGCAGCATGTCCTTAGAAAACAGCTGGAGTACATGAAGAGAAATGATGAGAAAGAAACCAAATATGTGACACTAAAAGAAATAGGTTGTGTTTTTGATAAAGTATAGAGTGTATGAGGAAAAGTACAAGCTAAACACATATATACTACATATGGCTGCAATCACAACTGAGTCATGTCTATGCACATATGTGTATATATGCAGGATATATACAGAATGTATAACATACATATATAATATACATTTAGCATACACATGTATATATATATACACACACGTATATATATACAAATATACAAAAGTATATATAAATATATATTTTATTATATATATACATGTGCATATATATTATATATTATTATCATATATTTATGTGTCTGAATATATACATATAAATGCTTATACACACATTCTTAAGTACATATGCATTTTCTTAAATACACAACAGTATTAAAATCGTCTGGTGAAGACTTTACCGGTCAGATGCTAAAAGAAGAATTGGATTAATGTGTGTTTGCTATTGTAAACTTAAACAAAATTATACTTCAACAAAATTAAATAAATGTTTTGTAACTGATAATAGTTGTGAAGAGGCAGATCAAGATAATATCATCTGTATCTGACATTGTCAGTGTGTAATGTAATACACTACAGCAACCAGCAGAGGACAGTGGCATCTCATATAAAGATCAGCACTCTCACCTATTTAACCTTCACTGTAACTCTGAGTGAGGATGAATTCTTTTGTTAATGAAACAGATATTAAATAATAATAATAATAATAATTATTATTATTATTATTATAATAAAACGATTTAATCGAAACAAATGACTCCAATGACTGCATTTAGCTTTTATATTTCAGCTATCAGCAGCTAAACCTTTGCACTGGAAGCCTTGGAATTTAGCAGAACTTTCTGTGACAAAGCAAGTGAAAGAGCTGACGTCCCAGCGCATCCTCCATTAGCTATTTCAGAACTTGTCACCGCTGCAAAAACTGCAACTGTTCTTGCAGAAACACAGAATAAGCATTTTAGACGTGATGCGAGTCAGAGAAAAAAATCCATTTGTTCCACCACCGTGCAGCTTCAACTGGCGGCTGAGTGAAACACTGATGAATAACGAGAGCTAGCCCCTCACCTTAAATGAAGGCCTCTGAGAGGACTGGGATACTGTCTACTTAGCACATGAACCAGCAAGTTCAATCTGCAGCTTTCCAATACTAGAGTACTTCAGGTGATTTACATAGCAGTAATTTAAACTGCAAAGGTGCCAGGACCAGGCGTTAGCAATAAAACATGGAGATCTAGTGCCCAGACAGCTGTTATCACTTGATTGCTTTTTAACGGTGGTTAGTCTTGTGGGGGTCCCTTGAAAGAGCATTCATTTTTGGTCAATCCTCTGCTTAAGCCCCCCACACCCTCTCACTGATGAATGATAATGAGGGGGGATATTGACAGGTAATGTAAATGGGAGAGGTGAGGGTAATTCAGCTGGAGCTGGCTGTGTCACAGATCATCGCAGACAACAGCGGTAATTAGTGGGGAATACTGGTTTTGCTCTGGAATGGAGCAGGGAAGCAGCCAGGGTTGGAGGGTTGCACCAATTAAAATACTGGAAAGAAGTAGATGATAACAGGGAAGGAGGTTCACTGTACCAGAAGAAGCAGAACACTGCTATATAATGAAATGTTTATTAGTCACGGAAATCTGACAGATTTTCAGAAGTTTTGGGAAAACTTAGGAGGATCTTTAACCAACACCAGTACCCTTCAAACCTGGAAACACCCTGAGACAAGAACTGATTCATCCCAAACAAGACACTAAGAAACAAGCTGGACAATGTGGTTTATGCCGTTCAGTGCAGTGAAGAGTGTATGGACCTGTACATTGGGGAGACCAAACAATTGCTACACAGGTGCATGGCTCAACACAGAAGGGCCAACACCTCAGGACAGGACTCAGCTGTTCACATACATCTCAAGGACAAAACACACTCCTCCGAGGACAACGATGTTCATATTTTGGCCAGAGAAGACAGATGGTTTGAGAGAGGAGTAAAAGAAGTAATTTTTGTCAACCTGGAAAAACCATCACTCAACAGAGGAGTTTGGCTCAGACACAACCTACATCACCCACATAGAAAGCCCTCTTAGGAACAATATCCAAAAGTTTCACCTCAGTTTCACACAACAAAGAGGCAGGTGACCGAAACCACTCTGATGAGGATTTCCACGACCCATCAGACTCCTTACGACTGTTTACACTTTCCCAGTTGAGCCCAAGGCCCCACCCAACAGGGGGAGCTGAAGTAGCTTTATTCTTTGTCACACCCAGAGTATATATATGCAGTACTCCCCACCACCGGTTAGAACTAAAGAAGCCTCTTGGATTACAGGTGAAACGTCTTCTTTGCGAAAATTTCACGTCCAGCTGCCTAACAGACTCTTCAACCATAATGAAGTCCATCCATCCTTTTTCATCCGCTTATC